ACAATAAAACCATAGAGTACCCATTCGGCGCAAATCACGGAACTTCTCCAGATGGTGACATGGACCAAACGGAGCAAGGAGTCATTATATCGCAATTACTCCGTTATGCACGTAAATGCACTCTTCCGGAGGGATTCCATGATTGGGCTAGACGGCTTATAAGTGTCTATAGACAAAAAAAGTCTGATATTGCTAAACTAGAACGTTCCGTTCGCAGATTTTGCTTCAGGAGCTGAGCAGTACTGAGCAAATTCACCGTCCCTTATGATTCAGAAATCAAACGCCTAGTAAGCAGTCTATTCTCATAAAAAGCTGTTCCTAATAATTGGATATAATGATTGCCCGTATCACTTGCTAACTTCCCTTCTTTCCTTCATCTCTCGCTCTTCTGCTCCTTATATCTCTTTCTTTCTCTTCTCTTTCTTGCAAATTAGTTATATGACTATTCAAAACATGACGGTTAGAAGGTTGTACTGATGATTCTCGCTCCTACCCGCATGCACAGTTCGGTTTGTGAATATAGCTAGGGGATGAAACAAAAACTGCATCGTACAATGTCTTCATACACATGAGATTCACGTGAAATTCATTCATTCTTCTGTTTCATCCCATTTGATAATCCCCTAGCTTAGGAAAAAACTTCCACAGCTTTTTATAGGTCAGTAACGTTACGCACAAGAAATAAAGCAGAAAAGAAAATGACCAAAATTTTGCTTCGACCGTAAAAAAAGATGTGTGTGTTTTTTTTTGCCGAAGCTATTTGCTAAACTTCGGCGACGATTGTGCTGATCAGGCGGATTACCCATGAAACCGTAGCCCTGGACGATAATGCAGATACAGATGACTATTTGGAAGTAACTGATCAAAGTTACACTACTACATTTTCAAGAAGAGGCTGTTTGAAGAAAAAATATTTATCCGTACAATTTCAGTAGGAAATAAAAAAAAAAAAAAAACAACAACAATAACATTATATTAATAATAAAAACTAGCATTATACTAACTATAAAAGCTAATATTATATAAAACTAAAAATACAAACTAATTCATTATCAATACAACAACAACTAACAATACA